TCGAAGTGCTAACGTTACTGAGTAACTAACGCGTAAGCCAAATGAGTGTAGATGAATGAGTGAGATATTTTAGTATGAATGTGAAAAGAATTAAACCCCCAAACGATATTTATGGTGGTAAGCTCCAACTCGGATTAACTTTTAATACCGTCCCTGTTTGCATGATCTGCAAAATATTTGCTTAAAGCCGCGTTGATTCACTCTGATGTCGACATCAAAGCAGCCGGACATTCTTGATCGGGATTTAATCCGAGGATAATATCAGTTGGAGCTTACCACCATTAGAGTATGGAGCTTGGTATGGACACTAGAGTGATGCAAAATCTGAAATTTTCGCTCCACAATACTTAAACGATTCCATATCGGATCCTGACTAACCTCTCAAAATTTGAACCCATTTGGTGAGAAACTGAGATGGCACAAACCATTTGAAGTTTGTATGGGAATTACTATGGTAAAACCAAGATTTTTGTTCATGTCTATCTAATAATTCACCATATCGGTCTGCTTCAAAAAATTTCAACTGTACTTGTTGGAAATTTTCCCAGCTACAACTTTGCTCAAGACCACTTTTTGATTAAATGCAAGGATCGAAAGTTATTAATGGTTCAATACGCTGATGTCTTATCATCATGCTCAATCAACTGCTCAGCAGGCAACATTGGTGTTTCTTGAATAGGACACAAAAATCATGGCTACTATGTCACGCTGCAAAATACAGTGTTGCCTACAGAGCAGCTGGTTGATCATGTCATAAGTTTACCAATCTCTTAAATAGTTAATAACTTTTTCCTGTCTCGTTTTACATAGAAATAATTTTCAGCAAAGTTGTAGCTGAGAAAATTTTCTATAAGAGTGGCTATCGAACTGTTTTGTAGCTTAATATGGAAAAAGACTAGAAGGCAATGAACAAAAAGTTGGGATTTCCCATAGTAATTTACAGTAAACTTCAAATGGCTTGTGCGAAGTCTGTTTCTAACCAAATGAGCTGTAACTTTGGGAGGCTAATCAGGACCCGATTTGAAACCATTTAAGCACTGTGGAGCGAAAAAGTCAAATTTTGCATCAGTCTAATGGACACAAACTGAACAGTAAAAAAAACTGGAATTCACAGCCGATCCACTGCAAGTCAAAACCGTAACTGGGACTAGCAGAGTTTTAGGAAGCTGAATGCTTCCGAATGCTTAATTGAATTGGCGTGGGTGGAATTGAGTCTCCATTCACCCGTTGCATCCCGGATGTGATAATGTTGGAGTTGACGTATCTCGGAGACCCAACTCTGATCTACAGATGGGTGAGAAAGTCGAGGCACCGATTTATTAGTCCGGTCGTTTCTATGTCCCTGATTGTGACATTTTTTTTATTGTGGAAAAAGATGCTAGGATTAGGCAGATTTTTTATTTTTCCATATTTTTTTTTATTTTCATTCTAATTCGTATATATATACAATTGTTCATGGTGTTACATACTATGGCTTATATCATGTAATAAAGGCTGTCTTGCAATGAACACTCATACATCTAGTTTTCACTGGAAATCCTATGTATGAGTGCTCATTGCAAGACAGCCCGAGATACAGCCTATATTACATGATATATTTACATTACATGATAGTCTGTAAGGGTTTTAGGTCAACAAAAAAAATTGTTGTCATTTTTTTCTCCTCGGTGTGGACGAGATTGTAACCTGCGTGTTACAATTTGTCCTATTTTGTGAAGTTTAGTCACCAAGAGTAATTTTGCCGTGTTTCCCATGTTTTGTTTTTGTTGTCATTCCACGGCAAAAAATGTTTTTTTTTCAGTCATTATTCAACTCAAATTGTTTGTTGGGATATTATTGAATTGCGCAACCAATCCCTTCACTCCTCTGAAGGTTGGAGGCGAACCAGCCTAAGGCTGAAAGCCTCCTAAATAAAGCTAAATTAATTAATTAATTAATCACTCCTCTGAATAAAATTAATGCTTTATTGAATATAAAAATCATAAGTTTTCATTGTTTTCCGGGAGTTGAGTCGGAGCAGGAGGTAACATGAGTGGATGAATCTAAAATAATAATGAAATATTCATCGTGTAATAAACAGGACATAATTATTGTGCTGTTTCGTAATGGATTACCAGCATGGTTGATTTTCGTAACCGGAAATGGATTAGTTTCACAAAATGTGAATCTTTTTGAAAAATAAAAACATATTTGATACAATAGATTAATATATTTGATGGATTTAAGCATGACTGACTTTTGTAAAAGTAGCTAGTACAATGTTTCGGTGATTTACTTTGTTTGCAGAAAACTGAAAATAATATTGATTTTAACGAAATAAGGACCTTTTCGTCCCTTCCCGCCTAGGGGGACGACTCTATCTACGATGCAGAAAAGATTGTGTTTTGCTGTGGCTGGCTGCACGCACGCTGAGTAGATAGAAGGAAGATTTATGTCGATTTTGAAGATTTCCTGCAAAAAGATGAAGCAAGTAGATGCGAGAAATGAAAGATGATTTTTCGAAGATTGATTAGCTAGTGTGCATGTGTAGTGTTTTTTGAGCATCTAGAATTGAGATTTAGATGTGTTGCCCCCTCGCTTCCCGCTCCCCTTTCGTCACGTTTTTTTTCGATATTTCAGTGTCAACATTTCAAAGGGGCGTAATTGCTTTTGTAAACAATGGCTTTAGCCGTTAATTTCTCGCGAATGATATCTTACCTCTCCAAAATTACAATGCTAGCTGGTAGAGGAAACATTCCTCTACCTGGTGGTGTTATTATTTTTCATGAGTGAGCTTTTATTTGCGAGAAATCTATGGCTAAAGCCATTGTTTACAAATGCAATTACGCCCCTTTGAAATGTTGGCACTAATTTAATGTAAAGGGTGATACGGTCAAAATTTGGTCAAGGGAAAACGCGTGTAAATCGGTGAAATCGTTTATTTAAAAAATCAAATTAAATTTCTTTTTCAAGTTCAATTAGTATAAAATTCAGGAAAAATATTCAGTTAGGCTTCCGCTTTTCCAAATCCGAATTGCCGGGCCTTACGCTTGACCCCTGCCATCAGATTTTGTACAGCCACCTTGTCCACCTTCTTCGCCGCAGAAAGCCAGTTTGCCTTGAACTGCTGCTCGCCCTTAGCAGTTTTTTGGTCTTCTTTAGGTTCCGCTTGACAATAGCCCAGTATTTCTCAATTGGGCGGAGCTCTGGCGTGTTGGGAGGGTTCTTGTCCTTGGGAACCACCTGCACGTTTTTGGCGGCGTACCACTCCATGGCCTTTTTACCGTAATGGCAAGATGCCAAATCCGGCCAAAACAGTACGGAACAACCGTGTTTCTTCAGGAAAGGCATCAGACGTTTATTCAAACACTCTTTCACGTAAATTTCTTGGTTGACAGTCCCGGAAGCTATGAAAATGCTGCTTTTCAAGCCACAGGTACAGATGGCTTGCCAAACCAGATATTTCTTTGCAAACTTTGACAGTTTCATGTGCTTGAAAACATCTGCTACCTTTCCCCTTCCTTTTGCCGCATAAAACTCCTGTCCTGGAAGCTGCTTGTAGTCGGCTTTGACGTAGGTTTCGTCGTCCATTACCACGCAGTCAAACTTCGTCAGCATCGTCGTGTACAGCCTCCGGGATCGCGCTTTGGTCGTCGTATTTTGTTTATCATCGCGATTTGGAGTCACTACCTTCTTGTAAGTCGATAGTCCGGCTCGTTTTTTGGCTCGATGCACGGTTGTAGACGATACACCCAGCTTATTTGCGGCATCTCGGAGAGAGAGGTTAGGGTTTCGCTTGAAACTACCGGCAACTCTCTTTGTCGTCTCAGCGGCTTCCGGTTTTCGATTTCCCCCCGATCCAGACTTCCTGGCTGTCGACAAACGTTCCCCAAACACTTTAATTACATTTGTAAGGGTTGATTTGGCAACTTTTAGCGATTTTGCCAACTTTGCGTGCGAGTAGCTCGGATTTTCGCGATGCGCGAGCAAAATTTTGATACGCTGCTCTTCTTGCTTGGACGGCATTTTGACAACTGAAGAGTGAATTCCAAAATCAAAATAGGAGCAACATTTTACACACACACACCTTCAAAATGAGGGGTGTTCAGGTTTTTTAAATGCAAAATTGAAAGAAATACATCAAGTTGATATTGACCAAATTTTGACCGTATCACCCTTTATTGTTTGTTATACATTTGTAAACCCCCCTCTTTCATCAGAGAGTGACGTACATGATGCTTCCTAAATAGTCCACACGGTGAATGAGAATTTGTGTTTAGCTCACTCATAATCGCCAAAAGTGCAGGAACTCAGCGATGAGTAAATTTGTCTTATGGTTTCCTGTGGAAAACCTAAAAAATCTGCCGGAAAATGAGGAAATGAGGACGAAAATTTTATTCAGTCTCGGAGTAGTACCAATAGACTGAGTGAATCCAATCTTTACTTTTCTCATATTCAGGAATTTTTCCCTGGAAAAATCTGGGAAAACATGACGCAAATTTACTCATCGCTGACTTCCTGCACTCTATGTGATTTATGAGTTGACTAAACTCAAATTTGGGGCGTTCTCATTCGCCGTGTAGTAAATTATTGTTGCCATCAAAAATCTTGCTGTATATATATTTACACTGAAAACGAATCTTACTCATTCGTATAGAGCAGAAATTTCTAAAAGCGTTGGTTACTCCCTGTTACTCCTACGCAGATTAACCTTCCTTTTTAGAAATCTCTTCATACGAATGAGTAAAAGTGACTCACAACTGAGTAAAAATGACTCACAACTGAGTAAAGGTAACTCACTCCGTGAGTAAGTTTAGGTTTCAGTGCATTGATTCATGCGCTCTCAGCAACTATTTTGAGATCCAGGTGGCAGTAGTGCTTCAATCTGTCAATCTGTTCCCTCGTTTTCGACCACAGTGTCCCGTTCGACCAGACAGCACCAAGGCCAGCTCTCAGATGCACAAAATTTACACGCACACACTCTTGCGAAAGCAAAAGCAGCCAGAGGAAAATCCGAAAATCTGCTCGGCTGCAGCGTTTTCTGATACGTCAATCCATCAGCCAGTTTCACAATCCACAAACTCTCTTCGTGTCATCGTCAAAAGTAAAGTCAGTTCGAAATCAGTGAGGAAAAATTTGCAATATTCTGTTGGAAATAGTGATCGGATCGGTTGATTTCGTGTGAAAATGTCTTGTGGAACCGGTCCGGAGTGTCGAGTGCTTTGTTCCGGCTGTTAGAACCATTGTCCGTGTAAGTAATCGAGTGAAATATGTTATATCCGTATGGATACGGGCCTGGTGGAGGATAGTCTGGTTTTCGTCTCGTCCGGGACATTCCTGGTCAGACGAACCTAGGGAATTTGCTGGCTGCACTTTCTTTTTCTTGGCATTTTTCTGTGTGGTTTCTTTGTGGCCAGTGCACTGCTAAAGGTACCCGAGAATAAGAGGACGTGGACAGAAAAAGCCAGACACGATTATAATACACTGACTGGATGTAATGCAGTAGGAGGAGGAAAAGAGAAACCGAAAATGCATTTTGGATTATGAGTGCTGGAGAAGCATTTGGAAATGTTTAACGAGCTTTCGTAACATCCGGGAAGAGGTGCTGATGTGTTCTCCCTGGTGACCATCGTTTAAATAGTTTTCCAAGAGGATACGCGTTAAAAATTGCAAGTTGACACATGTGGGCGTTTCTTCCTCGGTGCGGGTGGCTGTTAGGGAAATCCGAAGGAGGTGGGTGGCAAAATGGTGTTCCGCAGACGGTCATTTTTGCCTATGTTGTATATAGTTCCAGACACAGCGCACCAGCAATGTCCCGTTGCTTCTCGTTGGTTTGGTTCGGTTGCAATTGTTGTGGAATGTTATTTTAAGGATTCCGAATAAAGTTATCCAACTTTGATGTGGATTCGAAAGGTTCAATATTTACATTCCATTAGCGTCTGAGGGGACACACATTTTTTGTTGTTGTTGTTGTTATGGCTAGTGAGAGCGTAGAAGCAGAAGCGTCATCGAAATCGCGTCGGTCGTGCTGCGATGTTTTGCTTTCCGTTGTCATCTAATTAACAAGTGTTTACCAGATCGTTTTCCAAGAAGATCGATGACTCACGCAGACAGACACTGCAAACGTGTAAGGGACTACAAAAGCAAAGCAGTTCAGCGGATGTAAATCGTCACAGCGAAAACGACGAGCGGCGATGTGCCAACAGGGCAGAAAGGCTGCACTCTCTCTATATCTCTCTCTCTCTCGTCGTCGGAGTTTTGAGACGGAATGCTATCGAAAGATGAAGGCACAATCTTTGATTACGAAAGATGGGGGAAACCACCTCAAGTAGCATAGGGTTGCCGTATTGTATCCTAAAGGAGGGCATGTCCTCACCTTTCAACAATGTTTGTACGTCCTCCTTTTGTCCCAAAATGTCCTACTTTTTAACCCTTGAATATTTTCTGGTAAAATTGTCTTGAAATAATTTTTAAAGAGTGTTGTTTGCAGAGCATGTTTATTTTCTTTCAATTTGACGCAACCTCATCCCATTTAGCAAATTAATGCCATAGGACAGGTTTTGAAGCTGTAAAGGTTTTATTAGATCATTTCCAAGTATTAAATATGAACTATGGAGGTTATTTTAATACACCCGTCAAAGGAAGGATAACTGCTTTTCATTGGAAGTAACCAAATAGGTGAACCCCCAATTTAAAAACATCGTAACGATTAAACCCAACGAGTGAATGATGGCTACTCTTCGTATAATCTCAATTGGTCCTTTTGTAAATCATAAATGTTGTGTTAGCACACATATTTTTAAAACGTTTGATTCTCCTTTAAATATTTTGAGCATAATTTTAAGACAATTCTAAGAAGAATTCAACCGAATTTAATAAATAAAAATGAAAAGAAAGTTTTAGTGAATTCTTAGAATGAATATCATTTTTTTAGAGTGTTCTGTAGAGAATGTCTGGATTGTTGTAAATTTTCTAGGAATTCCCAGAGAGAATCTTATTTTTATTTTGAAGACTTCTGAAAAAAAAAAAACTGTAAAATCTTGATCTTATGAACAGTTTTTTTAAGAGTTTGATTAATGTTTTGTTTTGACTTCATTGCAGAAACAAAACTTTCGACCTTTTGACTCACTAAAACTAATTGTACCTTTCAACCCTTCGATCTTTTGTCCGTTCGACCTTTAAAATTAATTCGACCTTTTGTTTCTTTGATATTTTATCCTACTAGAATTAATTCGTCCCACTAGAATTAATTCGACTTTTTGTCCCTTCGACAACCGTAATCATCCGTTTTTCCATAACCGCCATGCACAGTGCTGTAAATTCTCAAAATCATTTGAACATTTTTGATGAAAATGAGAAAAGTAGCTATTCGCTATCAAAGGGGACCTCCTCCGAATGGGTGATATCAGTTGCTTAGTCATTTGACGAAGGCATGGATCATTCTCATTTGAGAAACACTATATATCATTCGATTGAGTGTAACCTACACACAAACGGAGCTCTGGTCGACATTCCGGCGAAAAAGCTAAGCCAACCCGACACCAACCTGACTTCTATCAAACCCCAACCCGATGTTGACCCGACATTGACCCGACATAAACCCAAAATTTGCCCGACATTGACCCGACATTGGGTCGACATCGACCTTAAATTAGCCTTACATTGATCCGACATCGGGTCGACTTGTCTGTTCGGGACCATTTTCCTGAATTTCTTCCATACTCCACTGTCGTATATCAAATGATACTGAGTGACTCAATTGACAGTGACAATGAGCTTCGAATGAGAAAGGGGTTCTTCAAATTATGGTCATGTGAGAATTCGTTTACACAGAATTGATTGAATGGTTGTAGTGGTTCATCTTCAATCGAATGATATGAAAATTTACAGCACTGGCCATGCATTCCTTCGATTTGCCGATTAGTGGAAGCGACATGAGCTGGATGAAGGATAAATAATATGCACAACAAGCCGACTACATCAGCCAGGAGGAAAAGAAGCATCGCTGCTCAATCCAAACAAGCACTTCTTGTTATAATAACTTCCAGAGATCGATTCGAACAAGATTCGTTCATTATGACCCATTTACATGAAAAAGCGACAATATATACATTTTTTCCTTACTTTTGGGAGCCAGCAGCAGCAGACACGGTAGCACAGTGTTATGTAAATCACTGACGACAATGAAGAACGGGGACAACTTGTCGCTGTGTTACAAGTGCAACTGCGCCGAGTCCACAAAGGCGAGCACTGAATTTGCAAATTTCTGGGTGGCTGTGCATTATTATGGGCGGGATCGACACTTCACGCAGTTGATTATTCAAATTTAAAACCTCTTCTAGAATGAAATTATCGTTGAGCTTCTGGTGGATCGCTAATCGTTTTCTAGGGGTGGAATACTGATTGAGATAGATTCACACAGATGTTCGAAATGAATCATTTATTTGAGCAACAGCATAAGTCACATTTTTATCGAAAACGACCTTTAAGCAGTGTTTGAATCTGTTTAGATTTATATGCCTCTCCTACAAATATCAGACAAGTTGGATGAGAGAAACCATTTTAAATTAGTGTCCAAAATATTAATTCGCAGAGCAACGACCGCTTTTTAAAGTTTTCAACTTTATGCAAACAATAAGCGCTCTAGGACTTCATTTACCTCCCTGACCATAGTAGATGTTTGTATTAGTATTTTTAATTAACTTTATTAAACTGTCTGCGTCCCTCAGGCCTCCCTTAGCTCAGTCGGTAAAGGCGCAGCTACAAAGCAAGACCATGCTGGAGGTGGCTGGATTCGATTCCCGGTCCGGTCTAGGAATTTTTCGGGTTGGAAAATTTCTCGACTTCCCTGGGCATAGAAGTATGATTGGACTTGCCACACAATTATACCAATGCAAAAATGGTACAGGCATCGAAAGCTCTCAATTAATAACTGTGGAAGTGCATCTAGAACACTAAGTTGAGAGCACGCAATAAGTTAATATGTGATATGCAATAAGCTTGAAATGCGAAGAAGAAGAAGAAACTGTATGCGTGCTTTTATGTACAGATCCTAAGTAATACGATCTTTTTGAGAACGAATAAGCTTTACATCGAAAGCGAAATTTCAAAATTCTGAAACTCTTGATCATTTTTTAAATTTCGGACTTCTGCATACTAAATTAGAAGGATCCCGGCGCCGGGGGTGTAGTGGTAAGCGAGACTGCTTTCTAACACCCCAATGGGTCTGGGTTCAATCCCAGCCGAGGTCGGTGGGATTTTTCTGAGGCATAAAAATCTCTGGTCACGTCATCCTTCGGAAGGGAAGTAAAGCCGTTGGTCCCGGCCCATGTGTGTAGTGAATGGGTGCGATATCCTACGCAGGTGTGGAAGCTGCCTTCCTGCACATTCGGTTGCCGTCAATCGATGTCCGTCGGTGATTGGCACTAGATTGCGGAATAGAGACCGACGTTAAATAAAGGAACAAATAAGAAGGATGGGGAGGGGTCAAGAATAGCCCCTAATCAATTGAGGAAATACCAATAAGTTGAATAAACCTCGTTTTTAACGTGTCTGAAACAAACTAAATCAACCATTTCTTTAGCACCTAGAAGTTTTATATCAACTTAAATTTTAGCCAGCATCAAAATACTTCAAGTATAATAAGTTACACCTCAGTTACCTCAAGCAAGAAAGATATAGGAATAGATCAGGATTCAACCAAAGAACAACTCTGGGTTGAACATGTGCTTCCCAAATAATTGACATTATCGTAACCAATGATTAAAGGGTGTACCGTTTAAAATCCGCATACACAAAATTCATTCTCAAAATTCGAGGTTTTATTCGAGATTATTACCAAATTTTCAGGGAGTAAAAAGAAACAATTAAAGTTAGTTTTGTCATCATTCATTTATTTCGCCTTTATATCAGAATGCGCGAACATTGGACCTAACCCCAGCCATAAGGTTCTGCACGACCTCAGAATCGACAGTTTTTTTTGCATATTAACCCATACTTTCTTCATGTCTTCTACATTCTTCACCACTTCAGGTCGTTTTTGAAAGTGCTCCTTGATAATGGCCCAGTATTTTTCTATTGGGCGCAGCTCCGGAGTGTTTGAGGGGTTCAGATCTTTCGACACGAAATTGACATCATTCGCCTTATACCACTCTAGCACGTCCTTCGTGTAGTGGCATGATGCCAAATCCGGCCAGAAGATCGTCGGACCGTCGTGGGCCTTCAGGAGACACTTTTCCAAATACACATGTC